CTAATTATGTTGTTCGAAAACTCTCTAAACTAAACTAAAAGTCACTGAAAATTAGTTTAGTCCTGTCAAACAACGTTTCCTATTCTGAAAACGAAGTACTTGACAAGACTAAAATAATTTTAGTAATTTTTAGTTTTTTCGAACAACAGAATTAGCACTACTACCTCCAAACTGTTTTTGTATTTTACAGGATACTAGTATTGTAACAGTGTGAAAAACTCGTATTGTATTTTCTTTGTAAATGACCAAGGTGTAGTCATCCTTTGTCAACAGTTTTCAAAAAAGAAAACTGCTGTGCTCCACCATAGAAGTTCAAAATTAGGAATTTGTATTGCATAAAAATTTATAGCTCTGTAAAAAACTAGTACCTACTTGATATAACTGGTAAAGAGATACTACTCCTTTTTAAAATGATAATGTTATTATCGAGATACTACATTCATAGCACTTAAGTTTTCTGTCATTTACGTCAGTTTTATCCTACACTTCAGACTTTCAGAGAGTGTATAATGTCATCCATAAATGTTATATTGTGAATGATAGTTATGATTTATGTTCCTTGCATGTCTTAAGCGAAGCTTTTGAAAAGGATAACTAACCACGAAGTTGCATGGCCACACTATACAGGCACTACGAGGCAAGAAACTTCTAATTTGGCATTAGATTAGATGAGCAAAGAAGTAGAAAAAAAATTACAAAACAGAAAGGAGATGTAAAAAATAAAATAGAAAAGAATGGAAAGAAAGAAAAGTCCTCTTCTTTCTGTCATACAACTGAAAAGAGAAATAACAAAAATAACATAACACTAATTGCCTAAAAGCATTGTAGCCGACACACAAACATGATAACATGGAATATATAATGATAATTACACATAAAAACATATATTCACTAACCAGATCTCATTGCAGGTCTCTAAACTAGTAAAATAAATAATTTAAAAAAGGAAACTAAATTAATTAAGGTATAAATTAATATGACACACGTGTATGAGAAAAGTTTGTTAAAAAATGTAATTAATTATACAATAAAATGTATTTAGTATTTTTTTCTTTATTTAAGACAAGGGATTTTTGTACATAAAAAGCTCGATGTCAATCCCATTGTACCTTATTTCAAGCTAACTACAACATCAAGTATTTTCAATACTAAAAACTAAATTATAAAGCATTTTAAATTTATTTATTTAGTGTTTATATCAGGTGTCTCAGTAAGAGTGCACTTTTAAATGAAAAATCTTTTTTTCCGTGCAAGGGGCAACTCTGAAATTTGACAGCTACCTACCTATGTTTATTCCGATTATTAAAAATGAAGCGCTTTTCGAAAGAACAACGCGTTGCAATTGTGAAAAAGCGTTACAAAAATGGGGAAAGTTACACCGAAACTGCTCGCAAACTTTGCTGAATTTTCAGTCGAGAAAGTGCACGCAGAAAGTACAAAGAAACTAGGTCGATTATGGATATTAAGAATCCTTTGTATCAACGTATCGGTCGGTCTCTTGAAAACATTGCTGCTGTAAATGAGAGTGTCGCCGAAAACCCGAAAACATCAATTCGGCATTTTTCTCAACAACTTCAATTTAAGCAGGAGGAGAGTAGTTTTATCTTCTAGAAGAAAGTTGAAATTACTTGACTACTATACTACTATATATTCAATGTTATCAATTGCTAAACCTCCTCTTTAAGGAGAGGCCTTTTTTTTTCGTGCGAGAATCCCCTCGGATACCACCTATCGGTGGCATGTCGGACTCGAACCGACTAAAACCGCACGCCGTCTCGGGTACTAATAGCCGGGGAACCAGGTATACCCTAGAATCTAAGGAGAGGCCTATGTCTAGCAGTGGATTATTAAAGGCTGTTGATGTGTGATGTGATATATATTTAGTTATTTGATGTTTAGAAAGAAGTAAGTATACCAAATAAATACTGTTGATCAAATCACTCCCGGTTTTTATTCATTGCCTTCTTACTCTGAACTATGATGACGCGAATTTAATGTGATGCTACATCCATGCCATACAGTGTCCCAGCCACATTCACCAATGACACGACCGGACAATCTGTCGCAGCCGTGTTTGTGTACTATTTTTTTTATCTCTCCTAAAGGTCTTAAGTTTGTTCATAGGCATCAAAAATTTGCTTTTGGTATATACTTTTGATGTACATCGCAATATGTCGAAAAAATCTTTATATTTTTTGGGTTTTATGAAAACTATTTAAGCACCACCCTAATATGTTACCTCTAAATATCTTGATATTCTTCCAGGACCCTATTTTGTGGTAACTTCTAGAGGAGCCCGTGTTATATTGTTTAAAGGTTACAAATTCTTCAAGCAACGAACAAGCGGTGCGAAAGTAAGATGGTCCTGTAGTCACGCACAAGGTTGCAAAGCCGCTATGTATACCATAGGAGAGGAGTTTTTGTCTGTTAGATTTGAACATAACCATGCACCTCCATAATCCAATATTATTTTATAACCAAGTATTACCGGTAACCAAATCATTATTAATTTTATACTGTTTGTTTTATTTACTTGTGTACAATAACTTTAAAAATTCCATGATATTTATATGTATATTATGTAAGTATATATTCTATAGCCGATACGTGTATCAACTACGGATTCGTTTTCAAACTTTGTCATTAAAGGTCTTTAGACAAGGGATTTTTTGTTAATTTAATAAAATTGCTACAAGCTAAAGTAAAATATTCGTTTAACTATTTACCTTCAAAATTAGATTATGGCTACCGCTGGCCAAAAAAATGACATTAAAAATTATGCCCATCATATTTCATTAATTAGCCAGTACAAATGCACTTTCTAGCTACATGTCTACCAAGTTACTAATGATTAAGTCGTAGTGAAACGTGAAATTCGAGTTTAAATCTGAAATTGCATGACATCGTACTTACATACTTTCATACCAACAATATTTAAGAACAATTTTATTGCTAAAAATGAAATGAACTTGCCATGATTTTCGGCCAAATTGATACACAATCTTATTTAATAGTAAAAGATATTATGGCCAATGAACATCCTATTAGTGTGTTAAATAGGATGAAATAAACAGCTTGTCTATTAAAACTTCTAAAAATATTTTCACCAAATACCAAAATACTCGTATATAAGATCGATACTATAACAGTATTCATTTGGAAGTCGTCAATCTATGCAAAAAATAGATGCCTCGCACCGTTAGCTCTTAGCGAAGTGTTGGTTATTTGCACCTAACGATTATTTTCGAGGTAAAAACCTCAAATTTCTTTATCTTCAAGTTGTGACTTTTTGCCGTGTTATTACCATAATAAGTATGTAAATTTTTTTAAGTTGTTTTGTCTCGGTTAATGTCAGACCACCTGATAAGCTAAGTTAATAAGAAAAGATAAAATTTATTGAAATTTACAATTATTGAATTTTTACAGGTCCTACTTTCATTCAAACATCAAAGAACCGCAACCTAATCTTCAAAGGCTTTTTGTTTTATAAGCATTTGGTTAAAAATGGAAAAGTGAGATGGCGCTGTAGTCGCCAGCCGATACGTGGATGTAAAGCTGTTGTATTTACAGTGGACGATGTAATTGTTTGTACAAAACAAGAACACAATCACGAGTTCCCATAACTGCACGCATAAATGCGCTACGATGCTTCATATCTGATTCTATTATTACATTTAAAGTACTATGTGGCGAAATGCCTAGGAATGCCTATTTCAATGAATAGGTTTCTTTGTTTTTCTATTAAAAAAAGTAATAATTGTACAAGAGTTCAAGGTGCTGAATATTATTACTTTTTCTTATATCAAAGTAAATATTGAATCATTTTTATTTAATATTGATATTTATTACGAAACTAGTGACTCAAAATATTAGCATTTTCTTCACTAAAAGCTTCTAAGCGCCTTGACTTTTGTACTTTATATACCTATAAAATAAGTTAAATTAATTATAACACATCAGCTAGTTTCAGAGTTGCACACTTGTGAATTTCCCTATTTTGAGCTAAGTTTGGTTTGGTAACTGATGGATAAGCTATCGTCTATTACAGTGAACAGTTGGATGGATTGACTGACAAGAAATTATAATTGATATTTAATTTCCAGTTATGCCTTTTGAGTGAACATATTGCCAATCACCATTCACCGAGATTCTCATTCACGATTGTTCTACTTTTATTACCTGATGACATAGTTACTGAAAATACATCAAAATGATAGTTTATATAGTATGCATACATCTATTTCTTTTTTATTTTGTATTCTTGTAAGCTTTAAATTTTATTTACTACATTTGGCGTTTTTTTAATCCCATCAAACTTGACTTTTCGACAGTTCACTTTCACTTAGGTGTGTTACAAAGGAGACATACTCGTATGTACAGGTTTTGACCAAGTATTAGTTTTGTAATTATTTACTGCTGTCATTTCAATTTTTCAAGCGAAAAAGTTTCTGTAAATCTTATTCATCATCAATAGCCCTTAATGATCCACTGCTGGGCATATGCCTCTCTTTAGAAAGGAGGTTTTGGCCTACTATACCTAACTGGCCAGACGCGTTGGCTTAGGGTTTCTTTCAAGTTTTCCTTCTCTTTGCAGTGCCGTTGTTTGTAAATAAGTTATGATAATCATACCATACCAACAAAGCACTATAAATATCTCCTCCGCTGAGCTATAATGCATAATCTTAAGATGTGTCTATCTTAATGTATTAAACACTAGCTGCGCGCCGTCCACACCACCCGCGTTTCATCAGTTACACTAAAATATATTTAATTCCTTGTTCATCCGTCGGGAACACTACATTTTTTTGAGAGAAAAAGTAGCCTATGTGTTAATCCAGGGTATTAGCTACCTCAATACCAAATTTTATCAAAATAAGTGCAGCCGTTTGAGCGTGACGAAGTGACAAACATATAAACTCACAAACTTTCGTTTTTATAATATAAGTGTGATTAAGGTACATAGATTACTGGTCAAAAATTAACAGTAGTATTTATTCCAGGGCCCATGTTCCTGAGGACGTCTGTAGGCACACGCAGCATAGTATACAACGGCTACAAATTTTATAAGAAAAAAGGTAAAAATAAATACAGTGAAAGATGGCGCTGTAGTCTACACCAGCATTTCAACTGCAAAGCAATGCTGTTCACCACGCACGATCAACTCATCGCTATGAAGGGCGAACATAGTCATGCACCACCGAAGACCCTGGCATCTTTATCGCAAGCCAAACTTATTAACTGAAGTCACAAGAGTAAAATGTCTGCATTAATAATCTAAAAAAACTCTTAATTTACCAAACTGTGAGCAGAATAGTTACGAGTAATGTACCACGGTACCGGTGCAAATTAAACATATCTCAATTTTTTTTACATTTCATATTGTGCATTGATGATATGAACTCATGTGAACTTTCATTTCGTCAGATTAGTTCTGGAGGTGGGCAAATATGTCTATTCATCTTTCATCCGTTTGTTGTCATGAGCTTTTAATAATCTTTCTCTTGTCGGGATAAAATGAAAAGTGTAAAAACGTTTTATCAATTCGTGTATTTTATTTCTTTGCATTTATCTTTTTAGTGTAATGTTTAGTGGCACCATATATGAATGTATTTTTAACAGTGTGCTGTAATATTAGTAATACTATTTATTTCAATTAAGTTATTTAATTATAAAAATACTTCTTATGCAAATAATTCTTTTTCTATATGAGCCCACCTATTCTGACATTCCGTATAACATCTTGAATAAAAAGAAATTGGTTTATCATTCTGTAAAAGACATGCAACCGTGCCACTTTTAGAGCTATCAATTTGCAATACAACTGTGCCCGTATTACTCAAGATTGCCAAAGTAGGTATGCAACTTAATTTCGTTTTTAATTCCAAAAAAAATCTTTGCTACATTTTTCTTTACATACATACTTATGTACATACATATTTAGTACATTTTTCTTAAGTAACTGTCTAAACGGTTCAGTGGTTTTTGAGTATAGAGGAATAAATTTACTTAAATAATTACACATATTAATGAATTTTTGAAGACATTTTATTTATTTTTTTGGTTGTTCCAGTTGTAAAATTGCTGATATGTGGTCTGGATCTACTATAATGGCATTTTTTGATGTGATGAGACCTACATATTTAACATTGTCTAATTTTTACTGTTGAATTTAATATTATATTCTTTAGCTTTTAAAATAACTTTTTTAAGTATTTGATCATGATCCGCAAAAATTTTTCCTGCAACAATAATGTCATCGAAATATATGTATACACCTTCAATATCGCCAAAAATTAAACAGTTTATGCGTTGCATAACCTCAGGAGCTGATAAAATACCAAAAGGCATCCTTTTAAATGCGTTCTTACCATATGGAGTTCCAAAAGTACACAACTTTTCAGTTTCATCGAGTTCAATTTGAAAAATCCATCTTTCATGTCTAAAACAGTAAATATTTCCTTGCCAGATAAGCTATAATAAATTTCCTCTGGGCTGGCATTGGGTAATTTTCTCTCCAAATTTTTTATCCATTTTCTTCCTGCAGACACTCGCGAAGTGATTGTAAGTACCACATTTTATACATTTTCTTCCAAATGCTGGTCAGTTTTTAATCTCCTGCTTTTTTCCCACATTTATAATAGTCTATTATTTTCTCATTTGGTCTAGCGCCTCTATTTATTTCAGATTTCTTTACAGCACAAACAATTTCTTCATTATTTTGTATTTTCTTTATTTGTTTCTTACCAATCTCTGCGGCTCTACAAATTCCTATGCATGTCTCTAACTTTAAATTAATAATCAATCTTTCTTTAACCGAATGACATATATGTCATTCGGACCAATAATTATTACCATAGCAGTTAACCTATCTTCAAGGTCAATCAATTCACATTTTTTAGCTAAGATCCTCACTCTTGTAAAGAAATGATCAAACTCTTCACCTGTTTCTTGTTTAATAATAAGCAAATTACATGTATACCTCAGTAAACTTTTTCTCGGTTCTACATGTTCTTTGAATGTTGTGATGAGGTTATTTAAAGTTTTATACCTGTTTTGTCCTGCGTAGATTAATAGCACTGCAGAGAGAAGGAAAACTTGACACAAACCCTATACCAACCCGTCTGGTCAACATGGTATAGTAGGCCAAAACCTCTTTTCTAAGGAGAAGCCTATGTCCAGCAGTGGACTATTAGAGGCTGATGATGATGATGATACCTGTTTTTTCGAAAGTGTTGTACACTCCGATCGACTCTTCTCATGCACAGTATAAAAATAAAGCATTCTGCCGTTTATCCGACGCCTTTATTTGGTCTACAGCTTGAAGGTATAATAAAACTCACCCTCCCAGCTCCCTCACCTGAAAGTCGGAGTCCTGATGGAGGTTTTATTTCTTCCATTTTCTTTTTCTTTCAGGTTCTAATTTATACCTGACACCATGTTCCATCTCACTGAGGGATGATGATATAAGGGATGTTATTGATATTTAAAGATTTATAATAATAACTTGGGTAGTTTAAGGTAGTTTTGTGTGGTGACGGATTAAGAATACAGAGTGTCACCCCTATTCATCCCGTGGGTGTCGTAAGAGTCGACTAAGGGAAAAAACTACGCAGAACAACAGCACTGCAGAGAGCAGAAAAACTTGACACAAACCTTATACCAACCCGTCTGGCCAGCGTGGTATAGTAGGCCAAAACCTCCTTTCTAAGGAGAGGCTTATGTCCAGCAGTGGACTATCAAAGGCTGTTGATGAAAGAAGGTAGTTAATTAAATAGGTACTTTGTAGATATTCTATCTCATATCCCATATCAGTTCATCCGATTATGAACCACATTATTACTATTAAATTAATTTTTTGTAAAACTTTTCTAATAAATTAGTATCTTTATCTATTCTTTTTTTTTCTTTTCACGCAATGTACAAAGATGTCCCTATGTTCTTGTATGAGTTTTAATGTATGTTTATTTTTCCAGGGCCTATTTTCTCGCAGACCTCTAGAGGAGCTCGTGTCATAATCTTCGATGGTTACAAATTTTTTAAGCATATATCGAACTCGATTAAAGTGAGGTGGTACTGTAGTGGACATACAAAGGGCTGCAAATCTGTAATATTTACAGTGGATGATGTGATCGTCTCCTCGAAGATTCAACATAATCACGAACCTCCAACAAACCTTCACTGTTAGGAGACATTTTGGTTCGCTTGGACTGAGGAGAGGTGTACTACCGATTCTCGTTGGCATATTTTTTTCCCTTGATAAGTACTTGTAATCTGCATAGGGATATACATAAACTTCGGAAAAGGGAAGATATTCCCAATTCAGTTGTATTTTTTTTATGTTATGCTCCCTTAGAACTTCCTCATATGTACATATATCAATTGGGTTCGTGTATCGGCAAGTATTTTCCTGTCCCTAATAATATGAAGAAAACATGTGGTATTTTTTAAAGTACAAACTAAGGAGTGGAGCTATTACAATGCTTCATGATGGAGGTACGTTGAAGTTGGTGGTCTCAAAGGTTAATTATTTTCTTTAGTGCGTAGAATTATACGTACGAATTTTTTAGGGTCACCTAACTTATCAATCGGTAAAAAACTGAATTAATCTTTATAACATTAATGCTTTAAAACAATTTTGATTCAGTATTGCTAGTTTTTTATAAAACTTCAATATAGCTCTTAAAATAAGCACCACAATTTTGGCTGAGTGGCGGATTGCTAGCCACTCAGCCAGAATGACTATGGACCTGATGAAGGCAGCGACGATAGACTGGAGCAGATAAAAAGGTGGAGGACAGTCACTATGTTGGTTTTATAGAAATGTCTATAAACAACGTATTTTTGCGTATTCATTTTTTTATTCGCTGGGTTTCGAAAAAAAAACGAGGTACCATAAAATCTCATTAATTTTGTTGTTTTCAATGTACGTACGGTTCCTTATTTTTGTATAATTGTTGTATAATTGTATATTAATTATATATAAATGATAAATATTCTAATAATATATAATGTGATTTAATAAAGTATTTTTTTTATATTCTTGATATGCATATAGATATTGAAATTTTGTGTTAACGTTCCAACAACATTTTCTTATAATCGTAGTAAAAATAAATTAGGTTATATTTTATATTTTTAAATAAAAATAGATATTCAATGTATTTAGGAATAATTAATGTCTGAAATGTTTTTCATTTTTTTGAAATTGTTGATAGCAGGATCTAATTTCTACTTTTTGTATACAAAAGATTACCACCGAATAGTTTAAGTGCCTTTTATATGGTATTAATTAAGCAACTTCCTAGAATAGTGCAACAATTCAATTGCTGTATGTCATGCATTTGATACAACTAAATGAGTACATAATGCAATTATAGATATAAATATAGCAACCTGTATTTAGCATTTGTTTTTATTTATTAAACATAAGTTTTCCCCCATCCCATGATTGCCTATAAAGATTGCCACAATGCAATAAGGCCTCCAATTTTATTACAAGCAACATACTGCTTTTTTCTTGTTCTTTGTATTATTTTTGATGTGCTAGCAGCCTATACTAGTCCACTGCTGGACATAGGCCTCTCCTTAGAAAGGAGGTTTTCGCCCACCTTTGTTACGTGACATTTATTATGGGTCCTTCGCCTTTGTGTCTCTCAATCACTCTTAAGTAAAATGAAAAAAAAAGGAAAAATATTTTTAATTTATGACGCCAATTCTTATTGTAATTACCAGCTGACCCGGAAAACGTTGTTCTGCCATAATCGCAAATAAAAAAATCGAATAATAAATACTATACGGCCTATTCTCAAACCTACCAAATATACAAAAACATCATGAAAATCGGTCGAGCCGTTTCGGATTAGTGCGACTACAAACACCGTAACACTAGATATTTATATTTTTGAGACTAGTTTTACCCTCAGCTTCACTGTTATAAATTGAAATTGCATTGGTCAGAAATAAGGAACAAAATTAACGCGAAAAATAAATAAAACAATCTCTGAAGCGAATATATATATCGTATGTATCGTGTTAAAATTTGAGCTCAATCGGTGAATTGTTTTTCAATAATTAAAAGACTATCGATCGGTCTGTCTGCAATTCACTGCTGTAGGCGACCGGTGCATATTGGGAGAACCCTATTTACACAGGTTGTCTACCTTCCCCATTGAATCCACCCCACACACTCCGTCGTTCGGTATTATTAAAAATGTAATGATCTTTTCAGGTCCAATTTTTAAA